GGTTACTGTGACTCACTGCGGTATCAGGCTTGGGTTACTGTGACTCACTGCGGTATCAGGTTTGGGTTACTGTGACTCACTGCGGTATCAGGCTTGGGTTACTGTGACTCACTGCGGTATCAGGCTTGGGTTACTGTGACTCACTGCGGTATCAGGTTTGGGTTAATGTGACTCACTGCGGTATCAGGCTTGGGTTACTGTGACTCCCAGCCACAGGTCTGTATTATAACCATGGCTACGTGTGGGTAGAGTATACTTAGGCAGAACAGTAAGAGATCCCGGTTGTGGAGCATGAACACAGCCAGCAGATTTACCCCCAGCCTGTAAGACTGAGATTCTCGCGCTCTGGGGGATTTTGTGTGTGCTGGCTTTTCACAGCTAATCCTTTAATTAGACTGATTAAATTCTAATAGTGATTTAGTCAGTTTGATTTTTTAAGTGTGTTTCTTCTGGTTGCAGTATAACAATGTGCTGTTAGGCTGCCTTCTGTGATTATACCCTTCAGATACTTTTTCCTGTACTCTTTCCTTTGTCTCATTGTGAATAAACGCTGCCGTACTAATGAGAGTAGATGTTCCATATTCCTCTGTCATGTCCTTCTGCTGCTCATTCCCGGCGCATTCACACACTTCAGGAGTTATACATTTTTAAATACAGCAGGCATTCAGAGGGTCGATCAGCCTCAAAAAGAAAAGTTTGGTATTCAAAAGTGTATTAAAAAAAGGGAAACTTTATGAAAGATTTAGCAGGTAATTTCCACTAGTAATGTGAACATATTCTAAATGAGTGTATGTTTATACTTGTTTGTATACTTAGCATGTATTATTCAGTACAGAACACTTAATATTTTAATGTGCAGTAATTCCACACCCAATCATGTAGAAAGTGGTTCTTTTTGCAGTATCTTGTGCATTATGGGAATTTCCTCACTCTGCTGTGTCCTTCCTCTTCTCCGCAGCTCAAGAGTAACATGCAGTCTGTGCAAATCCAAGTCAACCACGACTTCAACGAGTAAGTGGCCCGTGTCAGAGGGAGGTCTGGCAGACGCCTGTTTCTGAGGGCTGGCGGCTGTCTGCACCTCTGCTAACCACCATCATCATCGCCTAAGGACAGTCTCTGTCATGCCAAGTAACACTGCACATGTAAATAGAGCGGAGGTGGATAGTTCAGGTCCAAAAAGTAAAAATCCAGACCAAGTTTATATTTCAACCAACCAGCTGAGTGCTCTGTGACTTTGACTCTTTATACTCGACTAGATGACCTAGACAAAATCGTGGTCTGGAATTTTACTCTTTGGACCTGAACTGTCCACAGCTGTACAGTGTTCTGACAGAGTTCAGGCTATTCATAGGGAGATTCAAAGGGGCCCCTGAACAAGCCCCCCCCCCCACCCCCCAGCTTGGCAAATTCTACTATGGGAACCCATATTTCCTCCATATTGAAAGTGGGGCGTGACATCTAGTTCTGTGACTCACATTAACCCTTGCAAATGGTGTCCCAGGAACCTTGCCTTTTAATGTTAGCATAGCGCTTGCTGGTAATTAGGGCCTGAAGGTTCTTCGCCAAACAGCCCGTGCAGGATAACTGGGTTGGATGGGGAGCTGTGAGCCCGTCCCATTGGCTGATTCAAGGCCTTCAGTGTCCTGAGTGCTGGTGCTTATGCCCCTTTGTGTTACTGGGGAGAGTCATGACTTGTATTGAATTACCCCATTTTTTTCCTGATTTATATTGGGGAGGGGGAGATGGAAAAAATAGCACATTGAATCTAGCATTTCCCCCTTTTAAACTCCAGCTAGGTTTTTGCAGCTTGCATTACGCTAAAATGCTAAATCGACTAAACCGCTTTGAATTTAGTGCAGAGTTTGACAAGGGAATCTTTCTAATGTGATGTCAGTGGAAGGGGTTGGGGAGGGGGGGTGGTAATGATTAAAAATTAAGCAGCACTTTGAAAGAAGAATGGAAAGCAGTTAATCTCCTGCTGGTTGTAGCTGGCCCACGTGTCTGGTCTGAAGGTCTGAATGTGACCCTGTGTGGCTGCACATTGCATTTTTGGCGAAACCGCAGCAGAAAGCGGGCATGGAAGAGGCTGGGGGTGAAGCGGCCTGCATGTTTGGCGTGTGACTCTTCAGAACATGGGACCCCCCCCCCCTGCAAAGACCCTGACTAATGACAAGAGCAGAGGTGGAAAGTTCAGATCCAGGAAGTACAAATCCAGACCGAGATTTTGTTTCAACCAACCAGTTGAGTATAAAGAGTCACAGTCACTAGCACTCAGCTGGTTGGCTGAAACAAAATCTTGGTCTAGATTCTGAGCATTAACATTTCCACCTCTGATTATGAGATCCTTGAGTAATTAAGACGAAATTAGCTTTCTGAATGTTGAGCACATTTCCCATCCATCCTGTTAATTCGACGCCCCAGTGCGTGTAACTGTTAAGCAAAGTGCTTCCCCCTCCAATGGGAATGGAGCACAGCGTGGGCGTGTCTCTCCGCAAGGCACAGAAGCCTCACAGACACTGTCTCCTATCGCCATTGTCTCTGCTTTCTTCCTCATGCTTTTAATTCCTGTCTCTGAGCACTGAAAGTCCCAGACAGCGAGGGCCGGTGAAGTAGAGATTCTTCCCTAAAAATCCCCCATCAGCTTCCTGCTGCCTTGTTTGTGTTGAGCAGGAGACCAGACATCATGAAGCAGAAGAACGCCTTTCCCCCCAACTTCATCCATTCCCTGGACTCGACCCACATGATGCTCACGGCCCTCTACTGCTACCGGTACAACGTCAATGTTTGTCCTTTTGTGTCTGCTGCATAATTAATATATATTAGGCTATTATAAACAAGATGGCCTCCAGCCGCTGGGTTATATAATGCAATTGCTTTGTTATTCTGGACGTCATCAGTTGCACCCTGAAGGCACGCTATAGCTATTGAGGAGGAGTAATAAATTACCGAAGCTTGGTATCTGTCAGAGAGCCCCTGCCCCTCGTTTGCGGCAAAGAAAGAAGGGGCGCGGAAGCCCGGTGTCATCTTCCAGAGCATTTAAACAACTCAGGAAAGCGTGGAAGATACGCGAGTCTCCAGTGTCTTCGGTTGTCAACGTGAAGGAAGTCCATGGTGTTTGTTCTAAGACTTCGTAGCTACTGCTTGAGTTTTGGCAGCAGCGTACTGGGTGGGGGATGGAGGGGGTGGGGGGGGGGGGGGGCAAGGGGGCAGCGGAGTACGAGAAAATCCATGCGGGGAGTTCAGAGCAGAGAGAAAGCGTGTCTGGTGTCTGAGCGGAGGGTTTTCAGCCACGGGCTCAGCAAATCGAAGCGCCCCGCCAGAATTTTATGTGTGCCCCAAATTTAGCTCCCGATTGCATCAGCATGGGGGGGTTTTCCAGCTGCCGGATGCAGGTTTAATCCCACAGTCACCCTTCACGCCCCCATGTCCCCTTTCCAGGGCTGGCCTCACCTTTGTGTCCGTCCATGACTGCTTCTGGACCCACGCCGTCAACGTGGACACCATGAACAAGGTATGCCACATCCCCACCTACCCCCACCCACCCCCACCCCAGCCAGTCTGACTCATCATCAGAAAGCGACGTGTGGGAGCGGACGCGCTTAGCAGGCGCTAACAGATAGCGTCCCTGGCGGCCCATCCAGCTGTCACAGCGCTTGTCGTCTTGTTTACCCGGAACAGCTGGCGAGCCGCGCGCTTCTCGCTCTGCACACGCTCCAGCCCTCCGCCGCCGTATGTTTTCCGGAGGTAAATAACGAGAGCGGCATTCATTAGGATCATATTTCCCTGGTCAAAAAGTTAAGGAGCCAGACTTTATGAGGCGCCATATGACACGAGTTTATGACCCTATTGTAGAATAGAAATAAAATTTTTGTCGTATATACAGACGCTCCCGGGTTACGATGGTCGGTGTTATGATATTTCGACTTTACGATGGATAAATGGTTTTCACTTTCAGTACATTATTCAATAAATGACATATTAAACATTATATTATAAAATTGGCTTTGTGTTAATGATTTTGCCCAACTGTAGGCTAATGTAAGTGTTCTAAGCATGGTTAAGGTGATATTTGTTAGCTTAGTTGTACTGTATTAAAAAGCAGGTTTATCGGAACCTACCCCATCGTAAGCTGGGGAGAGGCTGTATATATTTTAAGTAGTTGGAATCTCGTGGGTTTATGTAAGACGTTTGTAGGGCTTAGTGGGTTAGGATGCTTTGTCACTCATCAGAAGGTTGCTGGTTCAAATCCTGGTGAGAGTGAATGTTGTATCCTTGAGCAAGTCCCTTAGCATCTCCTAAAGGAACTTAAACTAAAGGGTATTTTTCGACTAGTGGTACTCAGGCGAGACTCAGGATTGATCTGGTTGTTAAAACGCGGTGACATCGGATGAGAACAGCAGAGGTTGTGATGACCCGAGCAGGAGCGTTTCACCTCCTGATCTCGTCCCGCTCCCCCTCTGGGGGCTGTTCTTCCCTCCCCAAGGAACTTTCCGGCACACACTCATTCCTCTAGCCTGCGCTCATCACCGCCATGTGGCCGAGAGCTGTTTCTGGAGGCGGCGGAGACCGGCGCTGGGTTAGGCGTACACGGTGGGGGGAGGGGCCGGGGCGTGGCAGGCATGGGGGGGTGACTCGGCAGTGCTGCGTCTTTTGCCAGGTTTGCCGGGAGCAGTTCGTGGCCCTGCACAGCCAGCCCATCCTGCAGCAGCTGTCCCTCTTCCTGGTGCGGCGGTACGGCAGCGGCCCGCCGTGAGTAACGCGTCGCCGACGCACCGCAGCCGTGACTCACGCTGCCATGTGACTGACGCCCATCACGCTACCCAGCATGCTTCTGTTATTGTTTTTTTTTGCTCGCTCTCTGAAATCCACACAAATCTCCCTAAAGTCGCAACCTTTCTGAAGTCCAGAACCGCACTGGCAATAAAATGTCACAGCTGTGTTTACTGTAATTATAAATGTAACCTTTTCCTTATATTAAGTCAATCATCTGTTAATTGATTAATTGATTTGCAGCAACCTAAATGCCATAAAGTCTACTGGAGAACAGGCAAATGAATCATAGCCAATATTAGCATATTATAAGAGGGTGTAAATTAATTTGCAGATACAGGGTCTTGGCTGTAACAGAGCCCCAGCTTTCCCTTCAAGTGCTTTATGTCTTCGTGACCACGCCCCCTGCTGTCAGAATTAAAGATGCTCTTAAAACCCAGCTAGGATACTGCAGCCAGGAAGAAGGATAATGCCCACGTGCCTTTTGCGCGGGATTAATTGCTCGTTAGTGTTGGCTAATTGCAGCTTGCCGTTAGGTGCAGTGGTTAAGGCTGCCTTAACCACTTAGACATTCAGAATGTATTTTCCTTCCCCAGAGTGGAAAATAAGCGCTTTTTGGAGCACAGGAAAATGATGGAGCTGCTTTCTCAAGTTCCCAATACAGGTGAGTATTTTTGGGTTGGTGTTCTGCCTCTCCTATTGGCAGATGCCTGCAGATTACCCTGGTTAATGGTTGCCGATTGGGTCTTCGCAGAGTGTTTAGTGTCTCTGTCTGTAGCCTTGCGTGTCTGCCCAAGCCTGTCAGCTCCAGCGTGTGGGTCTAAGGACAGGGTCTTTATGCTGCCTGTGGAAGAGGCCTTATTCTCCGTCCCCCCTGCTTGACTCTGCCGATGTATTCTGTCCGTTGCACTTTAGTGTGCTCAGGGTGCGTGTCACACCATCCCGCCTCCCCGCCCCGCCCCGGCCCGCGAGGGGTGACCTGGCACGCAGAGGCTCTATTATTTGTGTTAATTCCCGCGGCGCACCTTCAAACCGTCTGCCTCCAGGCCCGGACCGACCCCTCAGCCGGCGGCCGCTAATTAAATTGGATTTTCAAGGAGTCACGCCTGAGAGGGATGACCTTGTGTGGCAGGGTGTGGGGGCCGTCCTGCTGCAGGACGTTCCTGGCAAGGTGACGAATGCCGCTTCCAAAGCGAAAGTGAAAATGCTGCCTATATCCGATTACATAGAGTCCTCCCTCAAAATGTTTGTCCAGGGGCGGGCTGGCAACAGAAAGCAGCCAGGGGATTTGGGGGGGGCTCCCTTGGAATATCATTCCACCGATCAGGGGGGTATCCCCCGCAGACTTGGGGGAGTCCCTTTGGGATGGTTGGCCACCAATGATTAAATAGCGCAAAACCCATCAATCCTCCCCTGCGATCGACCTGGAATCATGCCGAGGTCGTCAGACGGGTTGGGCCCCCCCCTGATATACAGGCTATATAACGCTGGGGTTGGGAAACAGAGAACTGGCCCACTGGGGAAAATCCCCAAACTTCCTGATGAATCGTCCACACCTGTGCTTATCACATTTTTTGGCATAAATTTACTACATTTCCCAAACCTTTTTATATAGTACCAGTTTGAAAAATTTAAATATCCATGCAAAGCTTTTATGTTAATAATATGACCTTGATGGATATGATCTGACATTGTTTTTAGTTGCTAGGGGAGCTATTGTTTAAACATTTTCGCTGTCAAATGGCATTGTATAATTGCGTGCCTTCAGTAAGGCGATTAAGGGCCGAAGGCAAAGCTTGATTAATAATCGTCATTTTTACGTAACGGTGTTTGTTAGATTGGTTGTGGAACATTTCGGATGAAGGGAAATTCAATCCGAAAAAAAGCATTCGAATTTGTTTTGCTTATGATCTCGTCCTCTGCGGCCTGGGCAGGTGGTACCACGCGTCTCTTGCCCGCTGGCTGATACCAAGAGGCCTCTCTTCTGATGGTTTTTATCAAATTTCTGGGCAGGGTAAGAATAATGGGTCTCCCAAGACCGATATCGGCGACGCCACCTGTCACGCGGGGTCCTGCCGCTCTTCTGTCAGTCAGCGTGTTGCGGTTTTTCGCTTTATAAGAGGCTGCGCCTGTGTCTCCGCTCGTCGGGAGGCGTGTGTGGTGTGTGGGTGAAGGCCGTTGTTCTGGTGTTGCTGCAGTCCCGTCATGCCTCGCATGCATTATGAACCTACAAATCCATCGATTCATCCATAAATCTTGCGACCTACTTAACCTGCACCGGGTTATGGGGGGGGCTGCAGCCGATTCCAGGCACCATATCATGTGTGTTGGGTTGGGGGGGGGCGGGGGGGGGGGGTTGCTAGTCAAATTTACAACGCAGTATCCTCCTGACATGTTAACGTTTGATTGAGAGAATTGCAAAATGAAATACGGCTGCATCTTGGAAAAGGTTGCTGGTATCTTACTTATTTTACAGAGTATTTAAATGTTCCTGCAGTTTCTAAAATATAAAGGATCCTGTGTAGGGAACACAAAACTGAAGACATCACACACTGTCCAGTTTTCCTAAATTCAAGCACTTGGAACTTCTGATGTGTCGGTGGATGCGATTTATACACGATTCCTCAGCATGTTGGCATAATCTCTCATATGTCGTGGGTCTGTGCTGTCTGTGCTGTCTGTGCCCTCCTAAATGAGGAAAGGCAGCTTATTTTAGGTTTTCTTATTTTCTTATCTTATTAAGATCATGCATCCTGAAGTGTCAGTCTTCAGCAAAGAGGTCAGTGTTCCCCAGTCCGGTTCTCGAGGACCCTCAGTCGGTCCATGTTTTTGCTCCCTCCCAGCTGCCTGCCTGACAGTCCCTCCGTGGAAGCTGGGAGGGAGCAAAAACACGGACTGTGTGTGGGTCCCCGAGGACTGGATCGGGAAACACGGCATATACCAAAGAATGAGATTCCTGGGCAAATGTCAGACAACTCCTAACAGTACAATGCATGAAGTTAAACTGCATTAACAGGGCTTTAATTCAGACTGTTACTGTTCATGAAACAATTTTAGTAGAATTAAGTTTATATTTTTCCCTCCTGTTTTAGGGGATTTTGATCTTCAGAAGGTGAAGGAATCTACGTATTTCTTCAGCTGAGCTGAAGAATCAGCAGAGGCAGGGGGCCTGCAGTAATGGTGCCAAGTCTTTGGTCTTCGCGACCTCAGCAGAATGACCACTGCGGGGGGGGGCTGTTCATCCCTCAGTCCGCCAAGCTGCAAACTGTGCCGTTAATCCCCCCTTCGTGCTTCGACACGAGCATGTGTGCGTGCACACGCCTTTCCCTGCATCTGTATGTAATTGTATGTTCTCTTTGCGTGTTCAAGTGCGTATGTGCATGCATGCATTGACCATCCCATGCGAGTCAGGTCCCCGCAGGCGATCCTGGGGGGCGTGTATATAGTCCTCACTCTCCTGTGCAGGCCGCTCTCTGGGTCACATGACTGTTTATCACACGGTGATGCACAGAATCCCCACATTTGCCAATTCGCTTGGAGGGATTTCTAGATTGAACGGTTTACCCACTCATAATGAGTGTGTTTGTAATTTTTTTGAGGGACAGTTCATTGTCACATGTTTTTCTTCGCTGAATTGTATAGCTGCATCTTTTGTTAAACACAAATTACAGCTTCCTGAGAAATAAATATTTTTCATTTAATTAACTTTTAGCTGCATTCACTGTGATTCATTCTTCATTTCTAAACAGGTCCTGCATGTATAAAACCATGGAGACTTTCTACCAGGATACTGTTCCAGGCATTTACCGGTTTTACTTATTGTAAGATTATATAATATATAATTGCACATAAAGTATAAAGCTTTTTTTTTTGTTAAATTGGTATGGAGTTAATCCTTATAGAAATGCATTAATGAAATGTTCTCACTTCTACTGTTTTGGGCAATTCTCTACACCGCTGATTGTTTACAGAGCCACCTGTCGTTCCCAGATCAGAGGCTTTGCCAAGCCATTGCATTGAATTTTGAGGATGAGTTAAACGCAGCGTGACAATAGGCTCGCTGTCCTCTACATAATTAATGACGCTACAAAGGAAAAAACAAAATAAACGACAAAGTTGCTGCTCTGTTTCAGACTTTAAGAACGTGTCACAGGAGCGGTGTCGCGTCTGATCGCCAGAAGGAAATGAAATTTTAGCAGGGAAATTGTCAGACACGGGCATCCAGTTTCAAAGAAGATGATTGATATTTCAAATGCTGTGCATGGCACAAATAACAGGTGTGCAATTTCGGTACATTTCAAAGGCCAATATATCTAAATGCAGCAAATGCTTTCATTTAACAATTATTGATCTATAAAATATAACATAAGACATTGTAACTGCTATAAATGTTGATTATGCTTAAGTCAGCTGCAGAACATGGCAACATTAAGAATATGCGCAAAATATACACAAGTATTCACACAAAGAAAAGGTGGACAAAATAATGAGAGCTTAACAGTTCTTGATGTCACAGGCTTGTTGGAGTAGGGACACCATTTTCCTTCAGAATAGCTTCAGTCCTTGAAATGGTATCATAATATGTGTTCTGACTTCTTCAAGAGGAAAAATTCTTTGTAGGATGAACAGGATGGGAATTTCCAGAACTGCCCATAAAGGTTCAGTGGGTTTGAATTGGGCCCTGATAGGAGACTGACTTCATCCTTTTGTTCAGGAAACAATTCTTTCAATGTAACCATTTGTAATATATGGACATAATGCAGGAACAGTCTTTATACCATAGGGTGCATCTCATCCTGTGAAATAGCCTCCTATCCCTCGACCATTATACGGCCATTCGGAGCAATCATCAGACCTTGTAACGTTCAAAATGGCCGCCCAATCCAATAGGCATTGTGGTCTGAAAGCATTCTTTGGCTCTCTTCATTGTAAACATGTCTGTATGTAGGAAAATGGTTGAAAGATGACTCATCAGACCACATGGTTGCCCCCCCCCCCCCCCATAGCTATGCAGTCCAGGTATTGTGCTCCCTACACCAAGCATAAAGTCTTCATGCTCTGGCTTTTAACACAAGCATCTTCTGAATGGCGGCCCTGCTTCATAACCGCTCTGTGGAACTCAGCATGTATCGTTTCTGTGGGGACACAGTCACCATGGTGCTGATTTATCTCTGCGGTCATTTTCGAGGCGCGTTTGTGGTGTTTAGTGGCTATCCGGATAGGCACCTGTGTCTCCCTGGCAGTGAGCTCTGCTGTGTGAGCTCTGCTCCTTCATGCCAGTGCAGTTTGTCTGCATGATGCCTTTACAGTCTATTCCCCATGACACATTTAATAATTTCACAGTTTGTGTGACCGAAGAGCCTGTAATTTGGAGAACCAGGTCTTTGACCTCTTTGGAACATTGTTGCATCATATTGCTGGCAAATGAAAGTGCCCATTTTCGGGCCTCTTTGTGGCTGCTAAGTACTGCTAAGTGGACGTTCGGCTGTGGTTATGTGGCTATGCGACAATGCACAATGCCCACGGCAGTGAGTAGGGGCAGGTGCCCTGCTGTTGATTTATCTGTGCCCGTTCTGCCTGTGGCGTGGCGTGGTGCCAGCGTAATCACATTCCATTCATGAAGATACATCACCAAGAATGTGGGTGTTTCCAGTTGCCCTAAATAAAATTATTGACTCAAGCAACAAATGGAAAGCAGGGAAGAGATACGAACAAAATACAAGACATGAACTAACTACAAAGGAGGAGATATGAATGGCTAATACAAATGTCCTTATGGAAGATTGTATTCTTTGTATGTGGTAAATGTAGGACAGAGCATGGTAAAAGGCATATGGTTCACAAACACACTCCTCTATATCTTAGCTATTCATATATGGTAGAATTGAATCAACCACTAAGGGGCATTTGGAGTAAATTCTGCTGTGAGAAATGAATTGCACTTTTCATTGCAATATCTAAATGGTTCATAAACTACTTCTCACGATATTGAATGTTTTTTAATTTAAATGAGACAGAGTTTAACCTTGTTCACTGTATGATTTTCTTTTTTTTAATGACCACTGGAGGCAGAAAGGCCTCCATTATGATTTTCTACACACGTTTAACAGAAAAATTACGTGTCTTAAAATGTTTTGCGTTAGATCCTCAGATTTTTACGCTGACTTAAGATAGTACATCTATTCTTATAATCCTGCCTCAGACCATCTATCCATCCATCCAGGGCAGGGAGTTCCTGCTGTGCTTTTTTCTGCATGTCTGACATAAAAACAAACTCTCCAAGTTAAAAGCACAGCATCTCGGAGGAAGGATGTGTAAGCTACTGTCAGAATATTGCGGACGCACGGCTTTCGTAACTCATCTATAATGGTATTCAATGCACATACCAGCTTCTGTTTTCTATAACGGACTGACCAGCGTAGGTAGCAAGCAGTGCTACGCTGCTGAAGGAGGAAGCGTTCCTATTGGTGGGAGACTGGATGGGGGTGGGGGGCTGGTCCATGCTGAAGGTCATGAGGTGAGGTGGGGGGGGGGCCCAGCCCTCGCCGTGCTGTTCGTGGGACGTGCTGGCTATCCGCCACTCGCCACGGTGCTGACAGCTTCTGAATCGTGACAGAGACCCTCCCAGCTAAAAGCATTAAAAATCAGCTGACCAAAAGAATCCTCAGAATGATCATGTGACCAGGAAGTACGCAGCTCCACATGGGTCTTTAATGGCAGGTCATCTATCCTGTGCTTCGTGACCTAAGTTCACCGTGACACAAAGGTGTGGAGTCCTACAGAATTAAAGCAAGCAGACAGACATAACCTGCTATTATGACATTTATGTATTAGATCTATCTACATAAACAAATCTAACATATATATATAATGTATTACATTACAAGATGTACGGATATTGTCTATTGTAATGCTTATTTGGAATATATTTTTTCCTATATATTTTCATTACCTTAGTCTTAGCCTTTTTCATATTTCTCTTTAGTTTGTTAAACTTTAGTGCACAGTCTCAGGACCGAATCAGGGTACATTTCAATACACGCTGTACTTCTATAACTGCCTGTGACAAAGAATCTTGAATCTTGAATAAATGAACCGGAAGGCGACATTTTGGCTGCTGCTACGTGCGACATCTGCGCTCCTGCGCCGTCCACATCCCCTACCCTGCATCCGCGCTCCTGCGTCGTCCACATCCCCTACCCTGCTATCTATCCTCTCTGTCACTTAGCTACAGAGCACCTCTCGGGATGCGTTTGCTTGTGGGGAGGGCTGTGTCTGGGTGGGGTGGGGGGAGGGGCGGGGCCGCAGTGCCGGCCCGGCTCGCCGCGTGGCGCGGGTGAATCAGAGACTGCGCTGGGGCCGCGCCTGAGCCTCCGGCAGCCGCTGAGCCGCATATCCTTGGGGTGACCTTTGTGTGACGCAGGCTGATCGACGCTCGCATGCACAGATGCCTCACTAGTGACGCAGCACTACAATCTGCAGCAGAAACTCCTCATCTTTGGATGGGGTGGGGTTACGCCGCATGGGGGGGCCCCCAAGATGGTTTTGTTTTTTTTTGTTATTCATCCCTTATTAACATCTCCATAATAATAATAATAATAATACGTCTCATAGTACAAATTATGCTTTATTGCCATTTTTATAATACAGTGAACAAACCTTTTAAAACGTGAATTATAACTGCTCATTGAGATTTGTAATATCCCTCTAAAAGAACATTTTCTCTGTCTTATGTGAAGTATAATTGTCATTATCACCAACAGAAAAGACGAGGCGTCTGCGGGGAGTATTACCAATGCTCTTGTCTTTTATTGCACTTTTTATTTACTGCATTTCTTCGCTGGACACCATCGCCACATCGACAGTGTGCCGTGATGTGCCGTGATGTGCCGTGATGTGCCAGGCGTCTCATGTGGACTTTCGTCACGGGTTCGACAGCGGTGCCCAGAATGCAGATCGTTTGATAGACTTTTTCTCTGCTTTGTACTTCTTTGGCCAAAACATTCTGAGCACCAAGCACTGACCTTTGACCTTAATCAACAGCTTAGTCTCCACAGAAAAAGAATGTTTCAACAATACATTAAGAATCATATTCCATTATAAAGATTCAACAATTTTGTCATATCCACTTATTAAAAGTACATTAAGTAATTATTAACAAATACACTTTGTTCTTTGCCGCTGACTGATATTGCCACAGGTAGACACAGCCGTAGTTGCGTTACCCCTGCAATGAGACCTGGAACTGATGCCAGAATTGCATCCCAAAGAACAGCGACGCAAATATGCAGGTACTCAGTATCGAAACCCTGTGAACCCTGGGACTAAGGAATCTTAACTGGCAGGATTCTAATTACCATCTGATGCTTTGTTTCTCTTCCGTCTCATAGGGACTCTGGTGAAAGTCGGTAAACTCCCGTGACAATACAGTTCAGCTCTGAAAATCCTTTAATGTTCATACAGGGGTTTGCATGAGAACAAGTAACTTCCAGGACATCCCAGTGACACTCAGAATGCTGCCACTTTTTCAAACTGCCTTTACATTTTAAAAACATTGTATCAACCAATTCTTTAGCCATGTTCCAAAATCTTGCATCTCTTCATGCTTGGGTGGAATCTCTGGAGCTCGCATTTTGTTGGCTTAGTTCCTTGACTCTTTTTTGGAATGGACTGTCATCCCGGAGCAGTGAACAGGAACTATCTTCTGTCAGGTTCTGCCTGCCCCGACGCTGACGGACTGCACACAACATTACAGCTCCTTTGACTGTAACTACAGCGCGTTGACGTAGAGTCTTATACAATAATCAAACAGGTACATTAGATGAGCTTTCAGCATCCGACAGAGAGCTGGGCATCTCTAAGGATTACATATGCAGCTGAAGAAATAGTTTTATTTTCTGATAAATGCAAAAGAAGTGTTAAACTGAAAATTCAGTTCTATATATATATTTATATGTAATTTACAATTTCTCCTTCTCTCTTTGTCACGTATTGCAATGAATTATCACAACAGGAGGAGGACTTTGCATTTCATACCCACACAAAGAAACAGCATTTAGAAAGGAAATACACTAGGCAGTAGGTATGTACAGGACACATGTTGTGACTCAGACAATAAAAGCAAAACCCTGATTCGCGTAATACTCCGTAGTTAACGAACGAGGACTGGTCCAATTTCGTAGTTAAGGTTTTCGGATGGAACGAGAAACAGGAGCGTCGTAAACATCACTGGGCTCCCCGAAACATTCCTGTTCATAACATTTAGCCCCCAAACATTTAAATCTGTACAATTTACAGCAGCTCAAAGTATAGGGCAGATTCAGATACCAGCATATGGGAAAAACAGCAGAGGGTCAGTGAGATACACACAGAGAATGTGCAGTCGGCGTATTCATTCAGTCACACGTCCACAATCATCTTCCGGTGCCTTTGACATTTTTTTTTCCTTTCTGAAAAACCCAAGGATTTGTGAAGTCATTGAGGTGACTTGTCCCACAAAAACGCTGGTTGTTAATTAAAGAGGATTCTCCCAGAGGAACCTAATGTCCTTTCAATCTGAAATGAACCTGAATCTGCAGTGCAATGTGGAAACCTGGAGCTTTTTAAACTATGAAACATTTCTTTTTCCCTTCAGATTTTCCTAGAACATTTATTTGGCAGTATAGGCATGTTAACGCTATATTGGCTAAACAGGAATGTCACTGATGTAAAATTAACATCTAGAATTGTGGAGAGTTGTGTAGTGACATCAGTGTGGAAGAATAAATGCTTATCATCCATCCATTATTTGTACCCACATGTCCCATTCAGGGCCACGGGGATGGGAACCTATCCAGGAAGTTATAGGTGCAGAGGAGTGAACAACCCAGAATTGGGTGCCAACCCCCTCACAGGGCATATGCAAAATTCTTATCATACCTGGGCAAATGCCGATCACACAATTTTCCACACTTATTTTTTCGTTTTTTTTATAGTGGAAATAATTAGAAATGGCAGAAACGCTAAATGACCAGAGCTGTGCAGAATGTTCTTTTGATGCAGGAATTGAGCTTTTCCGGGCAGACAAAGCTCACTAGGTCAATGAAAAACTACTATAAAACTATCAGCCTCTCAATTTGTTACACTTCAAAAAGTAATGATTATCAAAATGTATTGGAGAAAAACAACATTTGCCAAAAAAAAACTCAAAATACCCAAAATGCAGCAGTAAATTTCAAACAGGAAGTGAGAACATGAGTTGGCAATATCGCTATCCTCCCGTAACAGTCAGCTGTGCACCAAATATCTCAATGCAGATTGAGATGTAATACAGACACTGCTCCTCCATGCAACGTTTCTTTGTGACGAGTGGAAGCGAAACTACACAGAGGTCCACTTGTCACAGAACAAAGATGCATTTGGAAGTACAGCTATCCTTTCAACTTGCTTTGCATTTGGTTGTCTTTGTGTCATTTTTGTTTGTTTGTTTTACAGTGCTTCTGGTATAAGAGTCATCGTCTACTGTCCTTCACATACATTCAACATAAAAGGCTACAGATTAGCTGTAATCATTTTAAAAATCTGTGATATTCATGTACCAAATCTGTGACTTCATGTAACAAAAATTCCTTGACTTCTCCAGTTACTTTTCCCCGGGGTTAAACTAAGTAGTACTTCAAAAAAAAAAAAGTAACTTTTATGGGGATCTAGTTTAGACCAAATCCAGGTATATCGCAACATGCCATTTGTGCTGGAAGTGAAGCCGTGTCTTACTCTGCCCTCTGCTTCAATGAAACCTTACTTTTCCACTAGATGTAACTATGATCACCATTATGGAATGACCCAGGATGACAACAATGATCTGAAAATAATCCCTGGGTGAAGAAATCGGGGGAAAAAAGCAGTTAACTTGCCTCTGAAAAGGATAGAACAGGAAAACAATAAATCTGTCTATGTGTGCTTTGCTAGTCAGACATGCACACAAAACCAGCCCAAAGTTGGTTAATAGACTAATCAGGTTGTCTAAGTAATTAAATCCTGAGTTATTTTTATTTAAAGTAATTACAAGGATCATATAATAAGCCTTGGAATGGGATAATCGCATTGGAAATACAGAGCCCGTCAAACGCTATTCTCAAGAAACCATCTCATCGCTTCTCCTGCCGGGATCAGGAACGGCTTAACTGGTCCCCGCCCATGGAATACCACGAGGTCACTCTGATTTATCCGTCTCCCTTCAATCCTCACAACGGCAAACCAGGCAACACAAAAGCACCGGCCTTCCCCGGGGACTATAAGTCATTGCAAACTCTCATCTCCGGGACACCCTAGCGATAAAGCAAACTTGACAACAATCCACCCACCCATCCCAATTCGACAGCTCCTCCCCCAGTCAGGGTGGCGACGGCCCAGACCTTGTCCAGGAAGACACACAGGCCAAGGCAGGGGACACTGAGGACGGCACGTCAGTCGCACACAATCTTACTAAGAAGCAAAAAAGTCGCCATAATTAGCAAGTGCAAATATATCAGTGGTAATGTCCTGCTGTGTATGACTGGAGAGACTAATTATAGATTATTGCGGATATTTAAAAAATATGTGCAGACATTTTCAGACAGCCTATTAGGGCATTAAGTGAGATGTATCTACAGTTACTTATTTGCTGTGTAGTTTTGCCAGAAATTTTCAGTCACTTCAGTCTTTCAGTTCTATTGCTTTCTTCTATACATTTTCCATACATTATATCTCTCACAGTTTTCACGTGTCAGATTATTGCATCTGCTATTTGCCCTAAGCTGTTTTCATAATAATAAAAATAATAATGGCAGGAGATAGACAAACATCTTCCTACATACTGTTGATCGGCAACGCGGAAGAAGAGGAAGCAGAAATAGTCATTAAATAAGTCGGCTGACCATGATGAGGTGGAATGGGAACGTGGTAAACGCACATACAGGCTGCCTGATTCTACTGGGGACGTGTTCTGAGGCTGACTGGACTGGTCCTTAGTCTAACCCCCTAACTGGCACCTGCCTTGGCTTGATAGATCCAGGATAAATTAGTGAAATCTAGCATTTAAGATCTCACTGAGATGCTGGACTGAGATCTTCTAAAGTTCCTCCATAGTAGAAACTCATGAGTAAGGACTGGTCAATTCCTGCTGCACTATTTACCATGTTGCTATCCTACATCTTCTAGATAGCTGAACGCGGAGGTAAGTACCGCTCTTGTAAAATGGCTTTATAAACTGAACAAATGTGAACATATCAGCAGTTTAATTTCATTATTTGTTTGCCACTGCAATTTTCATATAATTTGTTTACCAGTGCAATAGCACATTCATTTGATATCCTGACTGCGTGGTGCTGGTTTGCGGCTGTATAGCCGGTGAATGTCATTTAGCTGAGAATGTAATTCATTAATGGAGCTGTGAGGTCAACTAAGTATCTTTTTTTATCTTCCACCAGTTAGCAGAACACGTTTATATCCGAAACACACAGACAGGCTATATTTTTTCAATGGTCCCATAGTATCACACTGAAACACATCAACCCTACAGACATTATTGACATGGCCAAACACACACACAAACACACACACACTCAATCCTGACCCAGCAAAGACTCCGGGTCTGCATTTCAGCATTTCTGCAGCGTTTCAGTAAGCAGTTGCAGTCAACCTGGGATGAAATCCAGACAGCTAATACAAACTAAAGATCATTATCAACACGAAAATTTCAGTTTACAAGCGCCAAAGTCAAGTGACACAGCAATATGAGGTGACATGAAGACTTGATTTACTGCTTATCTACGGATTCACACCTCTGGTGGATACTGTCCCCATCGCTGTGCATCCTGCAAGATTTCCTTAAAGCTACCAGGTCGATTTGACACACAGTAAAATGCAGTGAAAAGAAGCTAAGTAGGATCAAAATAAAGGCTAACTGTTTATTTTAAAAAATTATAATAAAAAATAAAACTCTCCCTAAGATCGGCCCATAAGAATGAGGTCTTTTTATAAAGTTGAGAATTGCATTGCTGTGCAATTGTATCGGCACTGAGATGCATCTCTATTCGAACATTCAAATTCCCACGCGGTGTCTCTCCCTTCATGACTCTTATTCTAGGTTGAAATCGAGACTAATCACCCAAAGTCCAGCTTACAAAAGGAGCAGGGAATCTTGTTTTTCATGGAGAGCATCAAGAACGGTATAAAATGTTATTGTAAGATGACAAGAGAAGTCCTCTGAATACACAACCCTGACAGTGAAACATATCCGGTTATTTAGAATCAGAATCTGAAATGGCTTCAGTTAGTGGGAATGGGTGCGTCTGTCGCAGAACAGACACATTCCATTCATCCATTCTCTGTAGGCAGGGTCACGGCAGTTTGCAGCCTATCCTGGAAGCTACGGGCACAAGGCAGGGAATAACCCAGGATGGGGTGCCAACTCATCACAGTTCTGTATAATTCAGTTTCCATTATCCTACATACAACAGCCGTTCTTCACTGAAGCTACAATCCAACTTTGTGCAAGTTCCAGGACGATGACAAACCTTCAACTAAATATTTTATCCTTAAAACAGAAACACACCACTATAATGTTTGCATCTTTTCTTCATAAAAACCATGAGAAATGGGAACGAGAAAAAAATGTAACCAAATTGCGTGGAGAAACAAGTTATGGATGTAAAATCATAATAAACACATAGGCTGAGATTAATTATGGCTTTAAAAGTAGGAATCAAGGCAGTTAAATGGATCTCGTTTTATATTTTCAGGATTGTTTTTGTTTTTAGTTTTTTCTCCCGTTTACACAGACACACATCACCATTGTGTTAAAGATCAACTTTGGTCTGAAGAAATTACAATGTAGATCAAACTGCCAGGAACGCACTTTGACACTTCTCATTTTTACATGTTCATTTAAGATCGACCAGCGGTCTAAAATACTATAAGCTTTTTTTTATCATTTTCTTTTTTTTCTAAAACAATACTAATATAACAGTTTCATAAGTAGAACACCTAGTTATATAGCAATTTCATACACAAAAAGGACACCCAAAAAAACACTTTTGCAAAGCGTTAAACTTCATAATTGTCATCCGAAGAGGGTCCCTGATTTTCTCTTTTGTTCCAGCTCTCGCTAGTTTGCATTGTTTGGATTTTATACATTGTGTGACTTATACATTATGTTTTTTTTTTTACAGTAAAGAAAGCAAACGAAGGAGGCGTCGAAGGCAGGATATGAGCAGGTGCTACAGCTATTCATTTACGTGGGTTTATATTACACGCGTGTAGAGTACAAATATTCCACTACTCCATTCTAAATTGTTAGGTACAAGTTCCCTCTTTGCATTGTCACCAGTCACTCGTTATACATTCTTGTTGTGAGATTCGGGGACTGACAGGGAGAGGGAGACGTGGGACGAGGACCAGGACCAAGACCAGGACCAGGACCAGGACCCTTGTAGCTCACAAAACACGGCTCCTCAGCACACGGGACTCTTCCGTGTCACAAGTTGGAGGAGAGCCTGGATCTGATGGAGTCCGTTTCGGGGAGACTGACTATGGAATCTTTCTTCGGTGACCCAGAGTCCAGCTGGCCCAGTCCGACAGCGGCGGCCGCCCCAATCCCAGGCGACACGCCGGCGAGGGACGAGGAAGGGAAGGACCCCATCGACATCTGATGGGGGAGCATTACCCTCTGTGGCACCGCACCCCTGTAACCCGAAGCCCCTGACGTGCCAGGGTGGGCCTGGGGAGGCCCGATGGACGTGGAGGAGACGCGGCTGGACTGTGGCAGGCTGGGGGCCGCCGGTGGAGCGCCCTCGTGTGGCAGGGAGGGCTGCGATGCCGACAGAGCGCGGGCATCTTGGCTCAGACTGCTGCTGTGCAACGAGTGGGTACTCTTGTGCGTGGCAGGCCGCTGCGTGGGGCTGGGGGCCCGCTGCTGGACTAGGGAAAGCTGAGAGCCAGAAGAGGCCCCCATGGGACTGGAGCCATACTGGAAAGTTCGTGCCCCGGTGGCGAGCGGGCTTTGGACAGGGGGGCTGGAGATGGCTGAGGCAAAGGACCCGCCAGAGGCCTGGGGCTGGACAGCCTGCTGGGCCTGGAGAGGGGACACCGAGACCGGGCTGGACAGGCTCTGCACCACTTGGAAGCGGCGCACCATCCTGGGCGACTGCAGCGCCATGGGGCCCACCAGCGGGCTGGCCACCTGGGGGCAAAAGCTTAAGGCCACGGCCTGCTGTAGCGTGGCGATGGCCGAGGGGGCCTGCGAAGGGCCTGGCGGGGCGAAGATGCCCCCGTGCATGGGCGGGGTCAGCGACATGGCACGCGGCTGGTCCACTGGTTGCACCATCTCCCGGTCGTACTTCACGATCTCCTGGATCATCTCGTTCTCATGGTTGTTGAAGACGCCGGAGTTGAGGTCGTGCTGGACCTTGTGCATGAGGATGGAGTTCTTCTTCCCTGGGGAGGATTGGAGGAGAGAAATTTGATTTCAGTGACCTCTGACCTGGAAGCTAAGCAGAACCCAGCCACATTCATGGATTCACATTAATATCACTCCAGTGATATTCTGCCTAATAGTTTTCATTTTCCATTAAAAATATTACAAAGTTCTGATCTACAAAAGCCAATGTATGTGTCAGTATTCATACTGACAAATTACGGGTATTATAGCTAGCAAGCTTTGTTCCAAAATAGTAGTTAAAATTACGTAAAAACCAGTGTGAAGTTTAAGGTAATTTAGGAAGCATTCTATAAGGTAACCAAATGACTAAATAACCAAACAATAATGACAATATTGACAATAACAATATGTACTAATTGATTGACATGCTTGACTCTCCTTGGATAAGAAATCAGCATTAAGCTGGTTCAGTGTTTCCCAATCTGGTCCTCAGGGACCCACAGACAGTCCGTGTTTTTGCTCCCTCCCAGCAAAGTGGACAGTCTGGCAGGGAGCTGGGAGGGAGCAAAAACACAGACTGTCTGTGGACCGGGTTGAGAAACACTGAGCTAGATGGATGGTAACAGCGAGGGCGTGTGCTGCTGGACCAGAGAAGTAAACAAGAAGGGAGTCCGATAAATATTACCAAGAGGACCTCACACCCGCTTCTACAGAAATCTGACGGCAATTCACTCGAGTAAAGCTTGTAAAAATATACCATTATTAAGAGAGCATTTTATTCAGTACTAGTAAAATCCTGAAGGGATCTCATTGTCTTTGAAATACAAATACCATAAGACAAGTCTTTGCTTGTTTATGCATCCATTTTCAGTATTAGAAACAGCCCTTATTACGAACAATGACTAATGACTCCGGAATTCCTGTTCTTTAAGCCAACAGCGTGAGCCAAAATTGGTGTGACAAACCAGAGCTGACCAACAGTGGCAAAAATAACCAGATCCACCATGTAGACAAGACAGTGTACTGAAGCAGTTTGGCAGGAAAATAATGTTGAAAAAGATCTACATAACGATCTTTATTTTGAGATTCATGTCTCCTGAATAACTTTCATGGAACATTCTGGAACGTGACTCTGGGTTCTGCGGACACCAGTGATTTCAAACTAGACATCAAATTTGTTGACATAATGCTTCTGTAACTACATATGCTAGGTGGACAAAGTCAGTCTGATGTCAGATGCCACATCAAGAGCATATTGACCTTGCTGCAGGGAGACTGGGCAAGCCTCACCGTCCAAAGAGAGAGAGATTTATGAAGTTTACACAGACTGTTTACACAGCGGGGTCTGAAAACACAGTCTAGGTGTTTCCTCTAGCTGACAACACTTTTAAGCTAACAATAAAAAAAAAAACATAAATGGAAAATGTTACCCATACCATCTAATATACAAATCATTTTAAAAAGAAATTTGATTTATGATTTGTCCTTATTTCATTTCTGCTATATACTGATTGCTTAATAATGTTGTTACACTGGGTGATAAGATACTGCTGTATACGGATATTAATTTATAAAAATTTGTGCTGCACCTGCTGTGAGCTCTTGATAATAATAATAAAATATTAAACATTAAAAATGGGCTTGCTCTTTTAAACTAATGGACAATTTTTAATCAACCAATGGATTGCTCGACCAAAGCTTACCGGTAAATCTGAATTAATATCATAAAAATTCAAATGGATGCTAATATTATATTCATGTTAAAATAACCCTTCCCCCCCCTGCGCATCGTGCTATATAACAGTTCAAAACTGCCATACTATCTCCATATTTTATTTCTATGTAGAAATTGTAGTCTGTGGTGCTGTGTGTTCTCTGTATTTGTCTTTTCATGCAGCTGTGTATCGTGTTTTCTGTAATTACAAGCAATTTCCTTTAGGATAATAAAATTATTCTGGTTGTCCTTCTTAAAACTCATTCTTTTATGTCGGCATATTCGCTTTGAGATCATCCATTTCAATGCTCGTGATGTATTGCTTTGTCATGTCTGACTTCATTGCTGTTATTGAGTCGTTGTTACCGATGCGGTCGAGTCGGTCGATGGCCACGGTCTCGAAGGCTCTCCTCATCATCGGGTACTCCTCCAGAACCTCGTTGAAGTTGTCCACTGAGAGGGAGTAGAGCCGGCAGTAGGTGTCGGCGCGGACGCTAGCTGTGCGTCTGCCGCGGGTCAGCAGGCAGATCTCTGAGGGGAGGAAACACGACACACGTGTCATCTAAACCCCATGGCGGCCCCCACATCCGGGACCCTTCCCTGCCTTTCAAATACATCTGATTACATGTGAAACTTCCAACCGTTTCCTGGATCATGCCAGACAAAAAAATGGGGCTCCTGACCCCAAACAATCACATGATATCAGTGTCACGGCAGCAATCACATGATAAAGGTCACATGATGAACAGGAAGTAGAGGTGGAAATAGCCCAAAATATCCCAAGATTCATTGCATGGATTTTCGAAGGACGCAGCCTGCAAAGGCTACATAGACCGCACCCTGCAATGACACAGCCTGCAAAGGCTACATAGACCGCACCCTGCAATGACACAGCCTGCAAAGGCTACATAGACCGCACCCTGCAATGACACAGCCTNGCAATGACACAGCCTGCAAAGGCTACATAGACCGCACCCTGCAATGACACAGCCTGCAAAGGCTACATAGACCGCACCCTGCAATGACACAGCCTACAAAAGCTACATAGACCGCACCCTGCAATGACAGCCTTCAAAGGCTACATAGACCGCACCCTGCAGTGACACAGCCTGCAAAGGCTACATAGACCGCACCCTGCAATGACACAGCCTGCAAAGGCTACATAGACCGCACCCTGCAATGGATGCCGCCCCTGAATTCGAATACAACCCATGACTGAACAGAACAAGAAAGAAAGATTAATACAATAGGCCTTTGTGTTTCTATATAACTATATAACCTGGTTTAAATTCTTCTCCCATTATTATACATTGTTGAGTATTTCAGCATTATAGCGAAAGCTGAAATAGGTGGATTAATTCACGGCCTTCCATGTAGGTGTCCTCCGAGCTTGCCTGTCTGTTCTAGAACAGTCTAGGATCTTCACTGAAGCGGGATTGTGCAACCATGCGAGGCCGGCATCAAAAGGAAAGCTTCTGGCAATTCTAACTGTTATTCTTTCACAATAACATTGTTTCTCCAGTGTCTGAGGCCAGACCAATCAGAGGAGGCCATATTTCCCAGTGCTACCTCTGGCTTGGAGTCATTTTGGAGTCACGAAGTTTGACCGTGTGTATGAAGGCACGTATCTGTCCTACAGAGCACTGTAACATCGGCTCCCCCTGGATACAGCCTCAAATAATTATACGGAAAATATTCAAGTCATTCCCACGCTCAAAAGCTTATTAATAGAAATGTGCTAAATCAGTGGCCAGATTAACGAAATTGAGCCCCACCCTAAAGAGGTGAGCATTCAGAAGGTGGAAAAATTTAATAATAAACAGCCTCGCTGTTATAGCAGCAGTAGTTAATTTGCTTTCGCTAAAACAAAAATCGGTCTTTGCCTTGGGCAAGTAGAAGGGGAGAGACAGATGGTCAGCTGGTAGCACCACACAGACCACAGGCAGGTTTGTTACCAAAGGGTGAATATATTAACAATAAAACAAATTCTAGAGCTTTGCTAATAATCCTCTAACACTCGTGGGTCTCCGCAAGACCAACAGGAATACGTTTCCAGTTTGTCTTTCGCCAGACCCGGAATCTCCACTTCTCCTGGCAGGGGTGACTTAACGCTAAAAGACCTCTAAACGCTACAGCAGGCAGTGCGCAGCCCCCGGGAGTGAGGAGCCAGGGCAGCGAGGTTCGGGGGGCGGTCGAGTAAAACATCAGCTTCCGCCAGCTGCCTACGCAGCCATTACAGGGGACAAAGGACGTTCCGGACGAGTTATATTTTGATGATTACCTCTTCATTAACCACTCTGACAGGTAAATCCGTCACCAGTCCTCTCAGGCTCGACGTTACCTCAAGGTCATTTTCATCGTGATCCTGCCATTTAAAAGGAGGCTGTCCATATTTTTTTAAAAACCCCTAACAGTGGATGCCATGTCCTAATAGGAGATTAACAATATGCCTCGACTGTGATTAAAAAGCACACCGTCAAGATCTGAGGCGTGCAGAAAGAGGAGCTCCGATACACCGTCTGGACGTGCACCTCCATATGCTGTCGACTCGCTGGCTAACCCCCGACATACGGGCCCAGCTGACGAGCCCCGCGGGCCGCATCACAAATCGCGCCGCCGTCCCAGCCCTGCACCCCTAACGAGCCGTTATTAATCGCTCGCCCATCTTTGGCCTCTGTCTCGCTGTTCATTCGCGCTTTTGGCTAAAATCTCCACTTTGATTGAGGGTTCAGGCGTGTTAGGAAACCCCTCCTCTTCCTCCTGGCCCCAATGGGAGTATGATGGCCTTTCTGCACCGGTGCCAAATCCAGACCCCCTCTGCATGGAACCCCAAAAAGAGACTCTGAAAGTAGGACATGACTTACCAGAGGAAAATAAAGCAAAACACAATGGGGGGGGGGGTGCTTTTTCTTACCTCTATCTCAGTTATCATTTCCACATTAATTTAGCTGTTAATTACATGGATGTAACTGAGGCACAGGAGTATCTGTAGACTGATGCTACAGGATGTCGTAAAATTAATAGCAAAGCTCACTGAATGTTTTTTTAAGATGCTGTACAACACATTATTGACAATGACTGTGTCACTGAGTCTATGGCTTCTCCAGCGATTCCCATTTCTGTATTTTTAAGAAGTATGTATTTCGGGCAATCAAACGACAGGGGTGATGGAGTGGCGGGGTTTCATGAGCGCTGTTGCTTCCTGCATCCATGGCTGAGGGTTTGAAGCCCCTCTCTGCTCTGCTTGTGTGCAGTTTGCATGCTTTCCCTCACTGGGCACATTTTCTCTGGGTACTATGGTGTCCCGCTGCAGTCCAAAGACATGCAGTTAGGATAATTGGTGTCTCTAAATGGCCTGTAGTGTCTGTTTGGGTGTGAGATTGCTTGTGTGTGACCTGCGATTGATTGGCATTCTGTCCAGGATGCTCCCCCGCCTTGAGCCCTGTGTTTCCTGGGATGGTCTCCAAACCCTCCCATGACCTGGTACTGGTCAGGCAGATGGATGGTGAAAAGAAAAGGCCACTAACATAGCAACTGCTTCAAATAACTCTGCACTGGACAACAAAAAGCATAAGTTGATTTTGTGTTTAGTTTTACTCTAGAAAAATATTCATTAAATACTATATTTAATATTCCACTGCATACGTATTAAGATTTTGAACACTGCAAGCTAAATGAGTTTCTTTATATAAAAGTCTAACGTGAGTACATGTAATTCATGTGGAAAGATCTACCTCCACCTCTGCAAACCCTACACCCACATAGGCCGAGGCCAGCTCTATTCTCTACCTCCACCTCTGCAAACCCTACACCCACGAAGACCGAGGCCAGCTCTATTCTCTACCTCCACCTCTGCAAACCCTGCACCCACGTAGACCGAGGCCAGCTCTGTTCTCTACCTCCAAAGTAGGATCCATCTGAAAGCTTCATTCCCATGGTGCCCTTGGTGAGCACGCTCAACACCCCGTGCTGGATGAAGTACATCTTCTTGCCGATGGTGCCCTCGCGGATGATGTAGTCGCCTGGCTGGAAGACCTCGAAGCGCAGCTTGGTCAGCATGGCCGTCACGAAGTTGGGGTCCGCGTTGGCGAAGAGCGGCATGGAGGCCACCAGCTTGCGGCAGTTGAAGTTCACGATTTCCTGTTGGGGAAGGGAGAAGATGTCAGCCCACACTTTGAGACTTGGGTTTTGGTCGACGTCTCACCCAGAACAAACCCGTCATGGCCTCCTCACCTCCCGTAGTGGTTCGTTAAGCTCCTCCAAGATGCTCTCCTCATCAAACATCTTGCCCTGGTATCGGTGCTCGTAGTAGTCATGGATCTTCTGGCGGAAGTCGGCCGGCAGCTTGTGGAAGGACATGTACTGCTCCACTTGCTTGTACTAGGGAAATGGATAAAGAGAATTGAAGAGACAGCCTAGATGTTCAGTTTCCCTCGCAATACAGCCAGAGAAAAGCAGGAAGCATTCAAATATTTAGATGGCTTTTAAAAAGCTCATTTAAAACGGTGTCACATATGGGCCAAAAAGAAAAAAAACAGTAACAAACAATATTTATAAACTACATCCCTGTTATCGGTAGTGTCCATATTTCAACAGCGATGCTACACCAGCAAATTATTAATCATGTTGTTTAATGTTGCATGGATGTGGAAGCTTTTTTTATTTAATACTCCAAGGAATAGCCAGCCAAAAAAAATGAAATTGTTTGGACGGAACGGCAAGAGATGCGGCACCAAAGGAACCCAATTACTGATTTACTTATTTGACTTTTCTTCCTGAATTCATGTACCAGGATCATGATATTCAGAAAATGTCATGAAAACTCTTTTTTTGACTAAAAACAGTCAGGTTAACCTTCACAATTGATTTTTATTGACATGAAAATAAATAAAATACAAAAAAAAACAGAGTCGGATGAATTCATGAAATCAATGACAAAATAGACACTTAAGAGCGAAAGTGAATAATTCCGAGGTCAGCAGTGGCCTCGCTGAAGCTCGCTGAAGGACACGCTGTGCTTTGCCCAACGTGGGGAGGATGTTACGCAAGCAGACGTCTTCGCTGCTCTGAAAGCATCGGGGGCTGCTTACTAATGGGCAGGTGGGGCTTCGCTGTGACTCATCGCCGCGGCAACGCTCACAGCGGGGCTCGGGGGGCCAGTGCAACAAGCCCTGACATGGAGTTTCAGACACAAAAATAAGGGTCTGCTAAACTCCGGCCCAGTGCTGCTGGCTCTCCCTCGCAGCCATTTACACTTCACTGGCATCTCTTCCAGCTAAACATGTTGCATAAAGGCTTTAATGTGATATATAATTAAGAGCCTTTTGGAGGGAAAATGAAAATAAATCTCTGTCAAGACGATAAGTTGCTTCAGTGACCTTAAAAGAAAGTTACAAAGCTAACTGGTACATCTTAACAAAAGAAAAGGTAAGTTGCCCAACTCAGTGGTACAATGGGAAGGCCTTTACAGAGACTTAGGCTAATACCCTAACTGTTATAATATCTCCTGGCATCAGTTAGCTTTTGTGTTTCCTCTTAAGACAGATAGCACCAGTCCACCCACTGATGCTGTAAGAAGTTAAAGCTGGCGGAAGCAATCTGAGTGCATACAGGACAAGGATGACGTTTTAGCCAGTTTGGTCACTATTCCTTCTATGGACCTTGTCTAGCCTGGAACTTGATCGAAGGGTTCAGAAAGAGGCATTCCACATTCAGATAGAGCTTTGCCTTTAGAACTCTTCCTTAAGGTCAGGCACGTGTGAATGGTATTAAATATCATCTATATACATGAAACATCATGCCATCATCCCCATAAAAAAGGATTCCATCACCAATGAGACATTGTTGGCGCATTCCTTAAACCAAATGGCAGGGCACTGAACTGGAAGATCCAGGAGGGGTAATTCAAGTAGTTTGATTCCTTTTGGCAACTAGTGACCCCTCACTATCTGCCGGCACCAAAATTTGGCACAAACAGAAGCAGAGAGTCTGAAAACTCCATCGAATAACATTTCACACACATAGAGAGACAACCAGAAATATTTACTACAGTTTGTGAAGTATAAGACTTGGCAAACTAGGCTGGTATGCCCTTGTGACTGTAGCCAAAGTGCTGGGATAGTTTCCAGGAGTTCACGCAGTAGAGGATGGTGAACGGTATCTGGTGGAAATGCCTTTTTTTGTTGGCTCTTCACTCCCTGCCATGGATGGATGACAGGTGGTTGCTTCTGGTTGATCAAAGCATGTTCAGCATCAAGAGTAAGACCTTATAGAAGGCAAGCCAGCACAAAAAATCCACATGGCTACAGTAACTTTCGCCTTTAAAGTGCTGCTCCAGTTGACCGAATTGGAAAACCAATAAATCTTCTGGTGAGGAGGCGAGAGCAGACACAGAGAGTGACTTTGATGTATGTAGTCAAGCGGCAGCAGTACTGGCTAAGCCGAATGTACATCTACTAGAAAGAAAGACTCAACAGCCATAGTAGATAATCCAAACAATCTGACACGGTCTTAAGACACAAGTTATAAGCTGAGTTGCAGAGATGATTCAATGATTCAAACAGTCTGGTGTGAGGGTAGAGTTATGGGATCCAGCCAAACAGCACCCAACAATACAAATAATACGAAAAGAGAAGCAAATATGATTGGTGGAAACAACTGTACCTCCTTCTCATAGTCTCCACCCCGTCCTTTCAAACCTGTACCGTAAAGAGGAACGTACCGCTGCAGGTATGATCAAGATCAATGGTCTGAGGTGTGTTTTGCTGGATACTGTATCTGCAGTGTCACAAAGTACACAACCCAAGTCAGTGAGTTGTTTAATATTACATGCAGGAAAGGAACGTTAGTCTGCTTGTGGTTGGGGGGGAACTAGGGGATTCAATAAAGTGCACAAAGTAAACAGTCTGGCCCTGGACCTGACCTGTACTCTTTAATAATTCAGAGTGCCCATGTTCTCTATGCTTGTCAATCAGGTCGAGCACTGACTAATACAACAAACTTTTAATGACAAAGTCAAGAAAAAGTAGGGACTCAATGGGAGTTAACCTTGAACACAGTATGCATTGGAATTTAAATCATGAGTTGAATTAAACTTTAAAATCTCTTATAGAAGTGAAAGAGGCTTCATTAAATGCTGTCAGAAGACAGAGAACCATGAGCTGCAAACGTCGAACACTGAAGCATAAGGGAAAAAAAGGCAAGTAGCGTCCAGGATCGTTATCGGGGGAAGAAACGGCGCCCTTGTTGCACTTGGATAATACTTTTACGCCCTTGATAGAATAGATATGTTTTAAATTTTGACTGTCTTTGTCCTTCTTCCCAAACCCATTTGACTGCCCTAAACGGCAAAGTGAGCACGACATATTTTGTACAGGGAGTGTAAGTGCTACCAGTGGCACCTAGATGTTGAAGAGGTTTCAATGGGAAATAACTGAATCCTTGTTGTTAATATAAAAATGTATCATATTCCTTAAGGGACAGCTACCTAAATGTGAAAGAAACATCAGTGTTTTATCTCCGAAATCCCAGAGCAAGCAAAAGTCTGATAGACACTTCGTCATGATTTCTCGCCTGACTTTTTCACATTATGGTGACGGTATGGTAAGGACAGCGCATGCTGGGGATGATTCACTGTTCTATTTAGGGCCAAGCCTTTGCCCTTTTCACACGCAAAATGTCTGAAAGAGAAACAATCAAATATCAAAGGCCACCCTTAAACTCCTTTAAAAAATTTTCAATTCAATTCAATTTTATTTATATAGCACATTATCACAACATTACATTGTCTCAATGCGCTTTACATTTCTGCCTCGTAAGGACCCCCCAGTGAGTAAGCCAAAGGCAACGGTGGCAAGGAAAAACTCCCTAAGAGGAAGAAACCTTGGGAGGAACCAGACCCAAAGGGGGAGCCCATCCTCCAGGGGCCGGCAGATGAGTCAAACAAACAAGATGAAATGACTAAGCTAATACAGGGGTTGAAATATCAGTCTCAATGCAGCGGCCAACCGGTGCAGGCACGGGGTGCTTGATGCACGATGGCAGGATTAATAGAGGCACAGCCACAGGGAAGGATGGAGAGGCATCGCGTGAGCCAAGGGCAGGCAGGTTGGAGGGTAGTTGCCGTAGGTGGAGGTAGTAGTCTCGACCAATATTTGACACAGAAGCTAGCACTAATGAGGCAGTCAGTTTTGCTTAACGTTTAACTTTCATTAATTTTCAGGAACACTAAGTTTTGGGCACAGACTAAACAGACGGACAATTTAGACCATCTGAAATGAGAATGGTGAGCATTGTCTGAGTACAAGTTAGCACACCTGGTTTGCGCATAAATATCTTTAAATTCTTCAACGTAACGAACGTACTGAGTGCCTGAGTGTTATATCTCTGTTTTGTTGACCGTCAGCCCCATACACCTGAAGGATCAAATTCTTTCACCAAACACACCATCTGCTGATCAAATAAATATGGGTAAAATGAGAGATTCCTAAATACAAATAAATTAGCCTGCAAGGACTGTGTGCTGATACAAAATATAAAATACCTATACATTTATTTATATATTATTTTATAAGTCTGACAGCTAATTAGATTATTAAAAATGGTTTGATATGTTTGACTGAAGTAGATAAAATACTGTTGCACGCATTAAAAAATGTGCAATAAAGTAAACTAAACTTCTAAAATTAAAAAAAATATGGAACGGCAAACCATTAGGACAGTTTTGTGAATAATACACAACTGAACTCAATTATACTAAAACAGATAAACTGTTGACACAGAGACATAATTGAACCACATTTACAGTCGACAACCGACATTCAGGGTAACCTTTAACTTCACATATAACCTGTCTGGAAATTTCAGACAATAAAACAAATTAAAATTGTACGGTACAGAATAAGGTTAGCCTGGGGCTCAAAAACATGACATCATCTAAATAAAATGTTTACGTTTCTTTACAGGTTTATTTGCAGCAAGATTTATACGTGTCACTTATTCAGAAATGAATGGCTTTGCCGCATATTTTCTTCTTTAACAGCTGCCATGTCTCGCACCGTATGCTCTCTGGAAACTACGCAGCTAAGTGGCCCGTCGTCACGTCCCTCCCCCGTTCCCCGCTCTCCCCGGACGGCCGCGTGTCACACCGGCTCCAAACGCCCACGCATCTCTTCAGACGGCCTGCCAGTGTCAGTTGCTGCCTTCGTTCGCCTGCCGACTCGTAAAGGGCACCTGTATTTACCAAACCCCCCCCCCCCCCGCCCCCGACTCCCGCAAAGTGCCGGTTTCGGGGCGCGCAGCTGCCGGGGCCTGTCACGGAGCTGGGCCTGGAGCCCTGAATCACGCCAAGGGGAAGGGCTGAAGGGTCGTGCGGGGAAAGG